AGCATCACAGTAACTACAGATTGGAAAAGGCCTGATAACTAGTCAACCAAATTGGAACTACTTTTGAATGTTCTTTCATTAATTGTACCTTTAATGTTTCCCACCTTTTTATACCCATCTTTATTGGGGTCCTTTCCATAAAAATCAATTTTGGACTAGAACTGATTATCAATGTTTTCAGAGAATAATTCAGAACAATGACTGCAGATGCAAAACTTTAGACCAGCCACAGTTAAAACTCAAAGCTTCTAACCAACAAGAAAATAGTTATTTGTATTACACATAACCTTATATGAAAACAACCAAAATCATGACTGACAGCGTCACATTGGGACTGTCAGGCTCCTATAAATTTTATATACTCTTTAGAATATTCACACTGATCACATTCCCATATAAATATAAGATTGAAGATTATCAAAATTTAAAATGATAATATATTACATTTTTATAAATGTATATAATTTTAAAACCTTTTTATCAATATACTCATAAATGTAACTGAAAGAAGATTTAGTATCATTTATCATTTGATGACGCTACCCAGACAATTGTACCAAATGTAAGTATTTAACCCAAAAAGACTTTATGTAGGATTTTGATTCTGTGGAAACCTGCAAAAGATGTCAAAAGGTTCAAAACAATCAAAACAGAATCACAGGTCATTTTAAAACAATATTCCTTTAACCAGAGCAATTATCAGAAGGCCTCATAGGCAATTCAGGAAGTTACATCGCTGTCAAAACCATAACCCTTTTAAAGCTCAGTTGTCTTAAATAATCAAAACATAATAAAGATAATACAGAAATTATCTTGATAAAATATAAAATCTTTGTTTTTAAGACAGTTACTAAAAGGTACAGAAAAGCCTGCAGTGCGGTTGTGCCTTTTTGCGGGAAGCCCATGCAGAGAACCTGGAGTCAGACCCGATGAGACGGGAACCTGGAGCGTGTCCAGGGCCGTGGGTGCGCACGTGATGACAGACGACGGCAAACAGGGAACGTAGCCTCGAGCCGGGGAATACGTGGCTCTTGGTAACAGCATGAGAAGTTTCCTGATTACGCTGAACAGTTCAGACATAGCGAGAAAAGCCAGGTATATAGATTCAAGCTGCACTTGAGGAAAACGTTGCTTTTGCCCGCCCTCAGGACACACGTTTCAGCGTCAAGTTACAACAGCAGAGTTAAAACCGGCGGAAAAGGTTGCAGGACTTGACCAAACGTTTGAAGGAGAAAGTCCTTCTCCCAGGCCCTTCTCAAGGGGAGATGGAGCTGAGGCAGCATGTCTCCTGCAAAGCGCACGTCGCAAGGGACAGTGGAAGCTGACCTTCTGAGATGTGGATCTGGGCAGTTTCAAAAAGAGATGACTTCAGAGTTAAAAATCAAAACCTCTTGCAGTTTCCTTAAGAGCAAACCAGTACTCTAAGGAAACTGTGGTGATAGGGACCGATCTTTAGTTTTGTATTAATGTATATTTAATATCAAACCTCAATCTTTAGAAAGACATATAATTATTTACTTTTAATCACAGCTGACTTATACACAGAATTCTTTTCATAAACCTTATCACAGTTTTTACGGACCATTCTGACTTGCTTGTACTTCCTGCCTTCCCTACACTCCTTTTTAAAATAGCCGGTCATCTTACCTCAGCATAAAGAGAGACGGAGAACTCAGACAAGTCCCCACACTAACTCTATCACTGCAGGCTGCCATTTGAGCTCCGAATTTTTCTTGATATAATTTCCTCATTGGTTTAAAATAAGCAAAAGAATGGGCCAGCAACAGCCTTAGAAAGCTTAGCATGCTTTAAGGAGACCCAGGAGGACCTTGCAGAGGTCCAGGAAAGACCCCAGGGACCCAGGAGAGCTCCAGGAGAGAACCCAGGAGGTCCCAGGAGAGACCCCACCACGTGCAACTGTGCAGGGGCCAGGGAGGCCCCAAGGGCCTGTGCTGGGGCCCAAGTGCCGGGTCCCTGTGGTGTCCCAGGCAGCCCTGGGCAGTCCACTCAGAGTCCCTCCATGGGCACCATGATTGCCAATTGAGGAAGAAGAATCAAACTTTTCAAGAGTTCACTTTACGTGGAAGTTCACGAGGACCATGCACTGAGGCATCACCGGGAGCTGTCTGTCCGTTGCCCACACCGTTTCCATTCACGGTTCCCAAACAGGCGTCGGGGGCTCTGCACGTGCAGCATCACATCGAGGTTTGGGAGCAAGAGCTTGCCTGGCTGTGGATGACAGAGGTGTAATCACAGCAGACATCGTGTGCAGGAAAAGGCATAGACACACGTCACCGATCTAAACAATGTGGCTCCAGGCGGGGACGGGGCCCATGTGCTCTGTGCTGTTTTGTCTCCAGGCATCGTTCTGGAGACCCGCGCGTCCTCAGGGCTCAAGCAGAGGGACGGGGCCCACGTGCTCTGTGCTGTTTTGTCTCCAGGCATCGTTCTGGAGACCCGCGCGTCCTCAGGGCTCAAGCAGAAACCCGCACCCCGGCTTCTCATCTGCTACTCACCGCAGCCCCCAGGGCGTGATGAAATAAGGCACCTGCGCAGGTGCAGGGGAGACCTGCCAGCGCGCTGGGGGTTGGGGGTGCTGCTCTCGGGCGCCTGTGGCCACAGTGCCGGGTCAGGACCCTTTCTCACCCTCCTGCCCTCCTCTTGGCCTGCAGGACACAGACCAGCTGGGTGTGCTGCATCCCGTACTCCACCAGGAAGAGGGCGAAGGAGAGCACCTAGCGCCCAGGAGAAGGTGCTCAGATCTTGGTGAAGAGGAGGGAGGCGGGGTGTGGATGGGCTCGGGGGGCAGCAGGTGGGACAGAGGGTGACTGGGCTGCCCGCTTGCCACCCAAGAGCCTTCTCCACCAGGCACCGAGGTTCCTGTTTTCTTCTCGTGGGACTGGCCCTGCCTGGGAGGAGTGAGCGCACAGACAGTGCCTTTGGGTTAACGTTCACACCAGCCCTGAGCAACACCAGGTGCCGATGACCACGCCAGGTGTGAGCCATGCCTGAAACCCACTGCCCATTGCGAGAATGATGATGTGATCTTAAAAAACAATAAATTAGCAGGGGAAGATGTGTCTCTTCCACTCCACCAGCTTGAGGGTTTCTGGCCCCTTCCTGCTCTGGCCTCTTGCTCTGTGGCTTGCTGGGTGTGGGCAGAGGCCCCTCAAACACAGGGAGGCTCAGCCCTTTGTGGGCCTCGTGTGAGCTGCAGCTCCGGGAAGCACCCCACCAGTCGGGGGGCGGGAGGTGCACAGCGCAGAGCAGCTGGGTGTGCTGCATCCCGTACTCCACCAGGAGGGCAGGACAGAGCATCTGCTGTGTCGCTAGCGTCCCTGCAGGAGCCAGGAGCACAGTGGATGCGGCCTCGGCCATGACCGCAAGGGCAACAGAGACCACCGTGCTGGCACTAGGATCTGTCCCTGGAGGGAGCCACATGCTCCCAACTCACAGGAGAGGGAGTCCTTCTGGGGGTGTGGGGACTACAGGACATGCTTGTAAGACAAGTTTCACCAGAGCCCACCCAGGCTCGCTCGCTCAGACACGCATGCATGCATAGTCATATGTACACAGCACACACGTACACACATGCATAGTCCTATGTACACAGCACACACACATGCACACACATGGATGTTCATATGTACGCAGCACACACACACATGCATATTCATGTGTACACAGCACACATGCACACACATGCATAGTCATATGTACACAGCACACATTCACACAGCCGTATACACAGCACACATATGGATATTCATATGTACACAGCACATGCACACACATGCATAGTCATAGGTACACAGCACACGCACATGCATAGTCATGTACACAGCATACATATGTGCACACACCTAGTCATGTACACAGCACACATGCACACACATGTACAGTCATATTTACACAGCACACACTTGCACAGTCATGTACACATCACGCACATGTGCACACACATGCAGTTATATGTACACACATGCAGTTATATGTACACAACATGTGCACACACATGCATATTCATATGCACACAGCACACACATGCACACAGTCATGTACATAGCACACATGCACACACATGCATATTCATTTGTATGCAGCACACGTGCACAGTCATATGTACACAGCACACACATGCAGTCATGTACACAGCAGATGTGCACACATGCATAGTCATGTACACATCACTTGCGCACACATGTATATTCGTATGTACGCAGCACACACGGCCACACACATGGTCATGTGCACACATCACACATGCACACACATGCATATTCATATGTACACAGCACACACATATGCATGTGTAGTTGTGCATGCAGCACACAGGTTCACACATGCATATTTGCATGTACACAGCACAAGTGCACACATGTGCATAGTCATGCATGCATCACACATACATGCATAGTCATATGTACTCAGCACACACACACATGTGCACACACATGCTCACACCACACACACGCACAGGAGGACACAGGCAGGTGACCTGCACCATCTCTGATCCAGGTGTCTCTGAGCCGCCCAGAGGTCAGAGGCCACAGGTGCCAACGCTGTGTGCACTGTCCGGGCTGTTCCTGTGGGGACCCGTGGGGGCCGTCCCTGTGGTGCAGATGAGAGCACAGAGTCTCACAGAGTGTGAGCTCTGCCCATCACTCAGCCAGCAAGGGAGGAGCCCTTTTCAGGGAGCTGCACACCACACAGAGCTTGCTGCCTGGGTAGTTTTCTCTGGCCAAAGTGGGGCACTTTCCAGGCTGAAGAAAAAGGGGAGCCCCCGAAGCCAGTACCCACCATTGACTGAAAGACACCACAAATGATAGGTGCCTGGCAGCCCCAGAGTCACCATTTCCCAGACACTGGGTGGGTGCGGCCCTGAGGCCCCCCGCTCCCCCAACCACGAAGCAAAGCCCCACGTGGCACCTGTGCCTCCATCGTGGCCCCCTTGCAGCCTAGCCCTGTGCAGGCGGAGCAGCAGTCACACCGGCCACACCTTGGCTGTGTCCCTCCCTGGCCCCAAACACCGTGGCCATGCCGCCGGCTGCCTCTTCCATGCAGTGTCACCCCCAACCCTGCCAAGGGTTCTGTGCGTTTTCCCTGCAGGTGAGGTGGGAAAGGGCTAGTGGCAGTTCCGCGTCCTGGTTCCCTGGGGGCTGCCGGAAAGATCATGTTCCTTCCAGGCTTTTCTCTGGGTTTAGATGCCTCCACGTGAGAACAGGTATTTGTCCCATGCATACAGATGGCGCCGTTTACAGAGATGGACATAGATTGTCTTTCCAGAGTGGGGTCGCGTTGCCTGTAGCTTTTCACCTTCTTAGCTTCATTCTATCCCGAGCGGCCTCCAAGCTGTCCAGGGATCCCTGCTGGCCCTGTGCCAGGCCCTGTCCCAAGTGCTGAACAGAGCAGCCGGTGCCGCCAGTCGCCAGCATCTTGGATCCAGTTCCCTCCAGATGGCATGGACGGTTAAGTTCAGCACATCTCTACATGCAGTTTCAAAAGAGGCAACCACTTCTTCCAGTCACTGGAAACACAGCTGGAGGGCTGCAGCACGTGGCCTGGGGACGCCTGTGAGTGGCTACAGTGGGGCCTGGAAGAGGCGCAGGGTCAGTGGGGAGCGAACGCAGCCTTGGGGGAGGGCGCTGGGGCCTGGGCCAGGCTGGGCAGCCCTGCACCTTTCAGTCTTGAGGTCTGGAAACCCAGCCAGTGTCTCCCTCGAGGAGGTGGCACTGTTGGCCGGGGGTCCTCCACAAGCAAAGGCCTGCCCGGCTCCAACCTGGCCCTCAGGCACCACGTTTCCTTTCCTCCCTGGCCAACAGCACCACCTCATGGGAGCCACGGTGCTCAAGCCACCGTTTCCATGCTGGGAACCACAGCCACGGACATCCAAGCCAGGAAGACGGGGTTGCCACACCCTCCCCTGCTGAGTGTTCTCTGGAGGGGGCCGGGCTGTAACTGCCTCCGTGGGACGATCACCCACAGATGCACAACGGGCCAGTCGCTGTCGGGGCAGGTGGTCGGGGTCACCTGGGGCTGGGCCTCCCCACACCAGGACCCCACGCCTGCGAGGATGCAGACACCCCACCCCAGAGGCCTCAGCCTAGACAGCCCTGTGGGAAAACCCAAGCTCAGGCAGCCCCTGGGCTGCGAATGGTGTGGAAATCTCCCCCATGTCCTTCCCACGTGACCCCACGAAACCAGAAAGGAGCAAACCCCCTCAGCTGTGGACATCCCAGGATCCTCTGAATGCCTGGCCTTCCCAAGCCTCCCCGGCGCCAAGGATGTGATGGGGCCCAAGGACCCTGGGGGGGGAGACCCTGCCAGGACACAGGGTCTTCTCTCTGGCTCTGGCTCTGGTTCCGAAGGGCTTGGGGGGTGCAGAGTTCACCAGAGACAGCAAGGCCCCCGTGCCCTGGAGAGGGAGGGTTTCTCTCCCAAGTCTCCATCTAGCGCCGCTCGTGCTAAACCCCAGACCCAGTTGTAGGAGAAAGCTGTCCAGAGCCCTGCAGGAGAGGCAGGGGCAGCCCCGGTACACGAAGGGACAGAGGCTCCTGGGCTGCGCTGGGCTGGGCTGTCAACGAGAAGGGGTGATTGAGGATCCCTTGGAGGAGCCCTAACTGGGAACCCCTGAGATTCTCTGGGTCTGTCCTTCCATCGCTAGTGTTTAACTCTGGGACACGACGCATGGGTTGGCCCCTTCCTGGTCACATGGGGTGGGGTCCAAGGCCAGCCACAAGGCTCAGGGCTCCATGGTCCAACACTGTGTCCAGTTCTGAAAAGGGCAGCATGGAAGAAGACTCCTGGGGACAGAGGCAGGCCGCCTTGTGGACAGGCAGGACTCAGCCCTCCTGGCCCTGAACACCTAGAGGGGGAGGCTAGCGGTGGGACCCCACTCCGCAGATGGGAGTGCCGAGGTCCCTGAGGCAGGGGCAGTGACCCCACTCCACAGATGGGAGC